GATTGGTTATAAATATCAGCTTATAGAAAGGGATGCTCTTTCTCATATAATTTAATTTATGAATATGAATGGGTTATTTGTTATTGAAACCATGCTAGCCTTGCTCAAACTGTTGAGTCAAGAGTCTTTTGATTTTCAGTAAATGATTTATAGGAACTGAAATGTTTTTTATTTCATTTTATTTTTTTTATGTAATGTATTCTTCCAAATTCAGTTGGTTACTTTGGTTCCCACAGTATTCCATTTCATCAAAGGAATTTGTCTGGCCCTCTAGCTACTGTTCACAACAAAGAAATCAATAAGACAAAAAAAATAAAATAAAAAATAGATATTGTTCGACAGTACAACATCGAACATGTTGTTAGTGTTCGACATTCTACATCTGAATTACAACTTAAGGTTCGACAACAATACACCGGACAAACTGCTATTGTTCGAAAGTCAAGTGTTGAACGACATGTTGTTTGACAGAAATCGATCGTACATATGTTTGGGGTTCGAAATTCTAGGGTTGAACTTTTCGAAAACTGATTCATTCAAATACAAATTTCATGGCAATGGAAATAAGTACATAAAACCCTAAAATCTAAGCCAAATGAGAACTCACCTACTGTATCTCCAATGTGAAGTTGTTTCCAACTGTGTTGAGCGCCATCGAAAACGTCTTTGATGGGAAAAAAAAAGTGTATTGAGCAATGGGTCTTTATTGGTTTAAACAGATAATGGAGGGGAGAGGGGAGATGGAAGATCGTAGGTGGGTGGAGTGTGTGAGTGAGTGAGGGTAAAGATGGAAGATTGTGGGTGGGGTGTGTGAGTAAGGGTAAAGATGGAAGATTGTGGTGTGTATTGAGCAAAACATTTATTTATCAAATTATTAAAGGTGTGCCTTGAGCAGTGGTTTGCCTTGAGATAAAATGTGGTGTGTAAATAGAGGCACCCTGCTTACACTCTAAGGTCATGTTTGTTTGGGCGGACTGGATTAACATTCCCATGACTAATAGTCTTAGGATTACGAATCCGTTGGATTATGTATCCTATCTTAACTAATAGTCAAGTTTAAAATAATTAGTCCGTACTTCAATTGTTTAACCAAATATCGGATTAATAATTTTATTGGACTATTAGTCCAATCCTAAGCTCATGTCCACCCAAACAAACATGTCTCAAAAGCATACAAAATGACCAAACTATCCATGTATGATATATATGACATAAACCCTAACCCTCTCTCTCTGCTCCTCCGTTGATGATCTTCCTCCGTTCTCCGCTGGTGCCTCTCTCTCTTTCTCTCTTAAATACCTATTGCACCACATTGGCTCCTCCTCCTCCTTATTTTCCACTAGTGGCCGGATTCAAGAAGATTGCCGAGATTTAAGTCAAATTTGAGTCCTAGGCCAAGATCTGACCGTTGTAAGCAATCCATATAGACCTGTCACTATCGTTAATGGTGAAGATAGAGAGACCATTCCTAACGGCTGAAATCTAAGTCAGATTCGATTTCACGATCTGAAAATCTCTTGAACACTTAGATCTTTGTATTTTTACTCCAATCAATACCTCTCTCTGAAATCTGAGTCAGAGTCGACAGCAACAAAGAAGGTAAAGAAGGTTGGGATTCGATGAGAAACGAAACCATTGTAAAAAATAGAGCATTTTGTTTTTCTTTGAAATTTCCACACCACTGTTGGTGATTGGTGACATCATCATCATCCTTTTATTAACATGGTTTTGGAATACCGAGATTATATGTTTTATTCGTTAATGCATCTTTATTAGGCCAAGTTTGGCTACAAAGAAAAAAGTGCACTTATTTCATCTTTTTATCTTTTTTGGGTCACATCAATCAACATCTCCTCTCTACTTTTTCTACACATAATACAAAAAAAGTCAAAAAGTGCACTTATTTAGTCTTCCCAAACTAGGCCTTAGTTTGTTGTTTGATAAAAAATAGTGTATTACAAAAGAGAAGATGTTCTTATCTCATTCTCATTCCTTATTCTCTTTCAATTTTCCTCAAATTTGGTTTTTCACATTGCTTTTATGTGTTCATACTACTATGTATACTACAATTTATTACACAGTCTTGATTTTAATTTTTTTTTTAGTTCATTTTGTTATTGTTTGACAAAGATTATTATGTGCATTTGTGTAATTGTTTGACCATGTCTCAATGATCTCAATACAATTCAATTTCTTGTTCATTGATTTTTTGGACAGATAGTAGAAAAAAAAATTGAACAGAACAGAGAAAAATATTTGACTAGATAAGGTAAAAACATTGAACAGATAGTGAAAAAATTTGAACGGATAGAAAATAATTTGGACATCTAAAGTAAAAAAATTGAACAGATAGGGAAAAAATTGAACAGATAGTCAATGAAAGTCAACAGATAAATTAAGGGATAAAATTAAAAATAAAATGTTCTTCAAAACAAACAAAATGATTTCTTATCAAATAATTTCACAAAAGGTGGATATTTTACCCTTTGTCACGTGGCGGGTGGTGATTGGAGGAGCAAGAAAAAAAAGAAAAAGAAAAAGAAAATGTAACCAATGAGAGAGAGAGGGGGTCAAAGGGGGTGGGGGAAAAGGGGGATGAATCATTGTTGCAAAAAATATCCACTGAACCTAATCTCTTATACCTTTCTTAATTTAAACTTTATAACAATTTACTCAATAAGCCTTTACTTTTTCCAGTCATGTACCACCACTTCGTTTGGAAAGTTATTTTGTTTTTTGTGGTTAAAATAACTTATTTTATCTTTTGTGGCTAAAATAGCCAAAAAAAACCCCGTTTAGCTCTTCCCAAACGGAGTACACTTCTATCAAACATAGTATTGAATAGAATTTGATGGTATTTTAATATTTAATTAAAAGAAAGGATTAAATTTTTTTTTTTCCAGTAATGTTAGAGATCCATATTTTTAGACTTATAAATTCACCTATAATGATATGGCAATCAAATTGGGTTCTACATTATTTGATGTATAATAAATCAAAAATTGACACATATAATATTATATCATTGTGATATAATTATATGTCTTAAACATCAATAAGTCTATGGAGCCTCTCTAATTTACCCAAAAAATTATCAACTGCCCACATGCCCATGTCAATATAGAGGCTGTTTTTATTTAAAAAGAATATATATATATATATATTAACATAAGGAAAATGCTAGAGGTCCCAAATTTTCTACCAAATAAATGACCAAATGTCTCACATGGGTGTGGGGCCCACAAAATTGCGGACCCCACACCCATGTGAGACATTTGGTCATTTGTTTGGTAGAAAATTTAGTGTCCCTAGCATTACCCTTAACATAATTCAATTAATTAAGTTATCAATCTATATTGCTCAAATATAAAAAGAGAACAAATTCATATAAATCTAAATAAGTGATTATTAATAAAACTCATGTACATAGGGGGAAAAAAAAAAGGAAAAAAAGGCCCACATAAATAAGTGATTACCAATTAATTAAGTTAATCCTCACATAAACATTTTACAAAAAGAATAAATTCATATTTAAATATCAACATTTTTTTCTTCTTTTGATTAAAAAATCAATGAACCTGTATTAAGGTTTTTGATTCAATTTGTTTGTTTGAGTTTTCAAAACAAACCCAAAAATTTTCAGAAATTAGTTTGGTAAAAAAAATAAAAAGTTTTCTTTTTATATGGTTTTTGCTTTTTTTGGCAAATAATAATTTTAAAAATGTGTTTTTAAGTACTTTTGTCAAACTAAAAAATTAAAACACAAATTCTAAAAACTCAACCAAACAAAATATATATTTGGAGCATGTATTTATTTTATTTTATTCTTTAGTTCTGTGTATCATGGTGTTACAATTCTAAGCCTCCGTTTGGAAAGTGGGTTGGTTTTTGGCTTTTTAACTTTTTTGACTATTTTAGCCTGAGCTAAAAAGTTTGGTTTGGGAAGGGCTTTTTGGTTTTTTGACTTTTTTTGAGTTTTTTTGTGAGAGAAGAATGTAATAATTATGGGTTGGATGTGATATTTTGTTTTTTGTGACTAAAATAGCCTATTTGTCTTTTGTGGCTAAAATAGCCAAAAAAGTCTCATTTAGCTTTTGCCAAACAGAGCCTTAACACATATTCTGGAAAAAAAAAAAAAAAATGTTGTCCTCTCGTCTCTATGTGATAGTAATAACTTGATAACCTAATTAATTAGAATGCTATTTTTTTCCTTAAAAGTTTTCACTTTGAGGTGGGTTATCATTAGAGTTATAAACGAGTTGAGTCGAGCCGAGCTAAGTTTGAGCTCGAGCCGAATCAAGCTCAAACTTGTTTATAAGCCTTAACGAGCTAAAAAAATTATAAATTTATACTTGCATATGAAATTAAAATACAAACATAATAAAAGAAAAGCCTCTTACCAAAATAATAATATCTATCACTAATATTATATAAATGTATTATCTATAATTAGTTATTATTTACGTATAAACAAACTTAGCTATTATTTACATTATCTAAATACATAAATAATATATTTATTTTATTTTTTATACATATTTTTATATTATTTAAATAAATATTAAACAAATAGCTAACAAGTTGAGTTAACGAATCAAACTTGAGTGTTTATTAAAATTTTAACAAGTTTGAATTAAAATTTTAACAAATTTAAATTTAAAAGTAATAAAAATTTAATAAATCAAATTCTAGCAAGTTTTTATCGAATCAAACTCAAGTTTATACGGGAATAATTCTATTAATTTGCAGTGCTAATTGGCATGTGAGGAGTTGATAAATTTTCGAGGAAATTGTGAGAGGCTGTCTAGTCTTACGACAATGCTACGTAGCTCAAATTTTGTGGCTCAAAAGTGGCTCAAATGACCAAAACGACGTCGTTTTGAGTACAGAACAATATAAAAATGACCAAAACGACGTCGTTTTGGCCATTTGAGCCACATTTGAGCCACATATTGAAAAAACCAAAAATCCGCTCTCTTCCCTTTCCCCCTCTCTCTCTCTCTCTCTCTCTCTCTGCTTTCTCCCTCCCTCCCTCCCTCAGCGTCTCTCTCTCTCTCTCTGCCCTAAGGTCTGCGGAAAGATTCTCATTCTCTCTCGATTTCTCACTCTCCCTCGCATTGATTCGTTAAAAAATTTCCCAACTTTGGAATCATCTGGACCTATATATACATAAACCCTAAAACAATCTCGTCTACTCTTCGTTCAGAGGTAAGCCTTCTGCCACTTCATTAACCGTTTCTGTTAATTTTTGTTTGTTTTATTTTATTTTATTGATTCGTTTGTACCATTACTTGCCATTATTGTGTGCAAAACAATTTCTTTTTTAAGCCATCGTTTTTACACTTGACGATCTAGTTATCACTTTAGAACAACGAATTCTCATTCGCTGTATGTCCGCATGAGTCGATTTATTATCAAATTTTAAATTTGTGTTTTAGCTTTCTAAACTTAAAATGCTTTGAATTTTTTTTTTTTCCAAAGCAAAAAAAAAAAAAAAAAAAAAAAATTTGTTAAAATGAACATTAACATGAATTTATTTAATTTAACTATTATAAACTAAAATGTAATTGTTTTTCTTTATATTTTCTTGCATGAACCTAGGATTTTGATGACGTGTATTGGGTGCACCGATGGAGAAATGGGTTTTTGACTTGGTTGATTGCCAGAGCAGATGGTAGCATTTTAGTGTTTTTTCCTTGTGTATTTGGACCTCTATTGAATTGTTGAAGGAAGCTTATTTTAGAGGATAAGAGGGAAGCAATGTATGGGAGGTCTGGTCTTGATAGATTTAAGAAAGCTCAGTCTTTGGAGCCGTTTTCGGTGACTGCAAATTCAGCTCCTAAAACAGCTACTCAGCCTGCTACTAAAACAGTTTCATATCCCTCTGCTTCATATTCTCAGTCTCAAATTTCTCACCACCAAACCGAACACCAGAGCCAATACCATGTTTCCCAAAAACCCCTGGGGGCAGATGTGGCACCAGCCATGGTGCCAACACAGCAAGCGACTCAGATTGGAGGGGGACAGTCTACTTGGCACCCTCCTGATTGGGCCATTGAGCCCCGGACTGGTGTCTATTATCTTGATGTGTTGAAGGATGGTGAGGTTCTTGATCGAATTAATCTGGATAAGCGAAGGCATATTTTTGGGAGGCAGTTTCATACTTGCGATTTTGTGCTTGATCATCAGTCTGTTTCACGTCAGCATGCTGCTGTTGTTCCTCACAAGAATGGGAGGTGTGTTCTATGTTTAATATTCCTTTACATTCTTGTCCATTAATTTGATTTGTGTGTTAGTTCTTCTTCCATAGTGGTAAAAAGCACAGCCAATTTCTTGTTTTTTAACTTTTTCCCTTTTCAATTGAGGATTTGGTGTCTTTGTATTTTAAAGTTTTCGTGATTGACTTTTGTTCTTAGAAGGATACATTGTAGTGTTTTACTCTAGTTACTGAAGCCTAATATTTTTAGGAAAAATAAGAATGCATGTTAAAGTGTATTTAAGTTACAGACTACAGCCATTTAGACATGATGACACTTTAGTTTCCAATGAAAGCGTCCACTTGTTCAGGAGGTTTAGTACAAGTATCATTTTTGGTAATGAGATTCTTAAATCAAACTGTTGGTTGATTTGAAGTATGCATTTGGTGATATGTCCTTGATGCCTTGAGTAGCCACCAAATGCCTTTGTAGTTCAAAGGAACTTTAACAACAGAAATTGAATGCTCCAGACAAAAGCTTTTGACTACCATAAGTAAGGTTTATTAGTTGTTTTCATTCTCTAAAAGCCATCTTTCATGGGTAATTAGTAGTATTCATATTGCTAGCTATCTTAGGGTGGGGCGTGGGGGTGCTAGGCCTTCCAACTGCATGTTTGGCATTTATGAACTAGTGGGCCATGTAAAAGCTGAAGTTTGTGAGCTAATTGACTGCCTTCCGTCATGCATCGCCATGTCTTTTTACTACCAGAAAGACATAAGTCACAAAAAGATATTGCTTCTCTCTTTGCATCATATTTAACTTTTGGAGATTGAAAATTTTCTTTTGTAAAGAATGTGCATTGAAAAAATTATTGTCTCTCTTACAGCATATATGTCATTGATTTGGGATCTGCACATGGTACATTTGTTGCAAATGAGCGATTGACAAAAGATTCCCCTATTGAACTCGAGGTGGGGCAGTCCTTGCGGTTTGCTGCCTCAACAAGAACTTATGTTTTGAGAAAGAACAATGAAGCCCTTTTTCCTTCCAATCCATTACAAGCAGAAATCAATCTACCCCCATCTCCTGATCCTTCTGATGAAGAAGCTGTTTTGGCTTATAACACATTTTTGAATCGTTATGGTTTGACCAAATCCAACAAGGGGGCTGCATCCAACAAGCCAGGTAGCTCATCTTCTGTTGGAAGAGATGACAGCCAGCATATGCAGAGACCTGTTAAGAGAATTAAGAAAACTAGAGTGGCGTTCAGGGATCAAGTTGGGGCTGAGCTGGTTGAGGTTGTTGGGGTTTCAGATGGTGCAGATGTAGAAACAGAACCTGGTCCAGTGGGTGTTACAGAAGGAAGTCTTGTCGGGAAATATGAATCCCTCGTACAAATCACTGTAATACCAAAAGGGAAGGAGCAATCCTCTGTAAAGGAAACTAATGTTTCGCAAAAAGGTGTGACGGATAAGTTGCTAGAAGTCTTGAACAAGGTCAAAAATCCTCCAAGGAGTGGGATTTATGATGACCTTTATGGAGAATCGTTTTCTGGCAAAGTGGGTTCATCCTGGGCTTATTCTTCTGTCAGTTCGGGTGGTAGACAAGCTGCTTCAACTAAAGATGCTGAAGTTAAGGATGCTGGTGGTGCATTTATTAGTGGAAAAGCTGAAAATAGCTTTGGCAGTGTTGTCGATGACAATGACGATGATTTATTTGGTGATTGACGGAAATGAATGGAGATGGTATGGCGAAGGTTAGTGCTTTGCTTGTTTTTGGATGAGACAATATAAGTAATACTTTGAGGAGCATTATTCTTTAGACAATAGTGGGTATTACTTGCTTTGTAAATGGAATATTTATGTTGTATTTCATCATCCATTTTCTCTATCTGACATTCACACTAAGGTTTTGAAATGTCAATTCTTTGCAGTTTTGAGTGTCTATCACCTAATGAGGAAATGGGTAACAACTTGCATGATGATTAAGTATGGTCTATTTTTTGCTGATTGCACAACAATTTTTTTTTTTAATATGGATAAGCACAACATATTTGTTATTCTTTGATATGCATCTGATAGGCTTATACAAGTCTTGTAATTAACAGGCTGTGGATATTAAGCACCTGAGGAAGATACATTTTAATTTATCTTTAACATTTCGTCAAACATACCTTTCTGTTTTATTATTTTCATTGTTTCTTGGGAGGCTTGTGCTACCTGAGATTTTGAGTAGCAGCATATTTTAGTAGTTATGTTGACAATGATATCAATCATTCAAACAACCTATTCTCTGCCTGTTGCATTAATAGTTGATTGGTTTCTTCATTGCATTGTAATAGTTCATTACATTGGTTCAATGGTTAAGACTTGGCCTAATAACCTTAAGGTTATAAGTTCAAGTCTTGAGGCCACCACTTTGTGCATTATGTTAAAGGTTAGGTGTATACTCAATCTTTTTCCTCCCAAACACATTAATATGTACTAATTGGGCGTTGTTTTTTTTACTAGTGACTTATCGAAACAAAAAAAAATTATGTATTCACTGATCATATGGGCATCTTGGTGTTTTCTCTACGAAATTCTTATACCAACATCTATAGTTCATTCGCTTGTCAATCATATATGCTGCAGCAAGCCTGTTGTGAGGGCCAGCATTTGTCACAAGTGAGGTTGTTTTATTAATTCACTTGACACGTACTGATTTTCAATGCCATGTTGAGGCAATTTGGGCTGTTGCAGTTCCTTTTCAGTTGCCAATATTGACGTGAGTGTTAAGGTTGGCCTATTCTGCTACATACATGCAAGCTTAACAGTTTGGGTTGGGCTTGATAGGGTGCCGCAGGCACAAATGAAAGTCCACCATGTCTGCTTATGTGGTTTCCATGTTTTAGTTGGCCATGAAATTTCATTGGCCTCTAAGCTAGTGTCCTCGGTTTTTAGTGATGTATTTGTATTTTTTTTTAATGGATAGAAATCTGGACCTTGTAATTGTGCGTGTGATGCATCTTTTCTTATGTGTGAGTGGTTAAGAACCCGAGGGTGTCCCCTTGGCTTTCCTCTCCTATTTTTTAGTTTTCTATTTCTTTACATTTTCAGACTTCTCAAAGCAATCTTGTTCACCACCTTCCATGCAAGACACCCCATCTTCTCTGGGTTTGCAAGGCTTTCCGGCATCAATGAGTTGGTACTAGAGATGAGTTCTTCAACTGGTATATTGACTTCATAGATTGAGTAACCTGGTGGTTAAAGTAGTTAAAATCTAAAATTTACAGTTGTCATTGGGAAAAAATGAAAAAGGTATGCCCTAGTAAATTTATTTTGAACAGTTGTGTAGATGTTAATGTTGAATGCGAAAATCAAGGGAAAGGCAGAACCCTTGAGCTGGTCAGTGGAGTCATAAGAAATGTAATGAACATATTTTCGCAAGGGTAATATTCAATCATAGGTCACAGGTTTTAGTATGCAGCGACTATAAGGTGATTCTTGGAGAGAGCTTGACATCTCAATATAAGATTTTGGTACTAGATTTATACTTTAAAGGGCAATACCAAGTTAGGAAGGATAATGGGCGTCGTCAGACGAGATGGTGGGACCTAAAAGGGGATAAACTAAAAATATTTAAGAGTAGAATGGATAAGAAGGTACTTGGGACTTGGAAGATGATGTTGACACTATGTGGAACTCGATGGCAAATTGTATGAGGAGAATCTCAAGGGAAGTTCTTGGAGAATCAAAAGGAGAGGGATCCAATTCTAGGGAAACTTGGTGGTGGAGAGAGGAGGTTTAAGTGGTAGTAAAAACGAAAAAAGAGTGCTTTAAAAAGTGACAGAATGATAGAACTGAGGAAAACCTTAAGAGCTACAGATTGGTTAATAAGGAGGTCAAAAAAGTAGTGAGGGAAACTAAGTTGAAAGCTTATGATGACCTATACACTAGACTAGATAGTAAGAGTAGAGGATATACAAACTTGCTAAGATAAGAGTGAGGAAAATAAGAGATTTTAATTAGGTTAAGTGCATCAAGAGTGAGGACTTAAGGTATTGGTGAAGGATGAAGAGATTAAGGAGAGGTAGAAGAACTATTTTGAAAAGTCGTTAAGTGAAGAACGTGGAGGTAGGTCAAAAGGGGAGGAACTAGTCAGTAATAAGAAAATCGGGACTACGGGTTCTATCGTAGGATTAGGAAATTTGAAGTAGAGATTGCACTTAAGAAGATGAAATCGAATAAGGTTTTAGGACCCGATGATATCCCTATTGAAGTTTAGAAGTGTTTGGGTAAGAAGGGGGTTGCTTGGTTGACTAGGTTGTTTAGTAAGATTTTATTGAGTAGGAACATGCCAAATGAGTGAAGGAAGAGTATTTTAGTGCCAATTTATAAGAATAAAGATGTCTAAAATTGCAACAACTATAAAGGAATCAAGCTAATGCGTCATATAATGAAACTGTGGGAGAGGGCGATGGAATGTCGATAGTGAGATATAACAGAGGTGTCAGAGAATCAATTTGAGTTTATGCCTGGTAGGTCAACAATGGAAACAATCTATATTTTGAGAAGAGTAATAGAAAAGTATAGAGAAAGGAAAAGACATATTCATATGGTATTTATCGAGCTCAGTATTCCGAGGGATTTCCCTTTTTTTGTTTGCTACCGATTGGGTGTCAGTTTGTTCTGTGTAGCAATTTTGAGTTTGGTATTTTTGTATTTTCTTTTTTCTCTTTTTGGTTTTTTCCATCTCTCTTGTAAGAGGATGCCTTATCCTCTTTTTTCTTGGCCTTGTGCCTTAATATATCTTTGTTTGTTGCTGAAAAAAAAAAATATGGTGTTTATCGATTTTGAGAAAGCATATGATAGAGTGTCTTGGAATATAATCTGGTGGGTGTTAGAGAAGAAAGGGATAATAAAAGGTTATATCGATGTAATTAGGGATATGTACGAAGGTGTGGTGACCAATATTAGATCGCTTGCTGGAGAAATAAGTAAATCTTTAATTACTGTAAGATTACACTAAGAATTAACCTTAAGTCTTTATCTTTTTACTTTAGTTATGGATGAGTTAACGAGAAATATTCAGGATGATGTGCCACGGTGTGTGCTTTTTGTAGATGATATCGTGTTAGTGGATGAAACTAGAGAATGAGTTAATACTAAGTTGGAGACTTGGAGAGAAGCACTTGAATCTAAAGGATTTAGGATGAGCAAAACTAAGACAGAGTACATAAAGTGTAATTTTAGTAACAATAACAATGGAAGTAGAGGAGAAGTGAAGATTGAGAGTCAAGAACTATCTAAGAGTGAACATGTTCGTTATTTAGGATCGATTATCACAACGGCTGGAGAGATTGGAGCGGCTGTGGTCCATAGAATTAAGGTGGGGTGGTTTAGGTGACGGAGTACGTCTAGGGTATTGTGCAATAAACGAATACCTATTAGACTAAAAGGGAAGTTCTATGGAATGGCTATTAGACCAGCGATGTTGTATGGTTCGGAATATTAGGCAACTAAGAAATAATATGTAGATAAGATAAGTGTTGCTGAGATGAGGATGCTAAGGTGGATGTGTGGCAAGACTAGAAAAGATAGAGTTAGGAATGAGTATATTTGAGAATGGATAGGAGTAGTACCGATAGAAGATAAGTTGAGAGAGAATAGATTGAGATGATTTGGCCATATACAACGGAGACCAATAGAGGTAGTAGTGAAGAAATGCAAGTGACGATAGATGGAAGTATTAGGAGAAGGGACACACTTAGATTGACGTGGGCTAATGTAGTAAATAGAGATATGAACCTCCTTAATTTGACTAACGAAATAGCTTTGGATAGAGTTGAGTGGAAAATAAGGATTCATGTAGCCGATCCCATTTGATGGGACTTAAGGCTTGGCTTGGTTTGGTTAGGTCACAGGTTTCAATGAAATATTGAGTAGTTGTGACATGGCTATGAAAATTTGTCAAGGGTATTTATGGAAAATTTTTGGTATTATGCGTCTTCATGAACTGATGTCAAGAGGCTAAATGTATGAGCACAAAGGGGAAGCAATACATATGCTTTGTGTTACTAGTACTTTGGGACCTGGATATATTACTGGAGTTATATTGTAAATATTTTCTGCATTGGATGGTTTTATTATAAACTGGTGACATTGTTGAACATTCACAGAATGCAGTGTATGTGGGTGGGTGAAATGCTAAACTTGGGAATGTGAGAATGTCTAGTAGAATTTGCATTTAAAACCAGTACGTTGCAATCCTGAGAAGTGATTTTAGAGAGGGCTTAGTTTATATGCTACAGACTACAGTGAAACTTATGGAATTGTGAATGAACCATAATGTCTCACCTTGCCATACGGCTTGAGTTAGACTTGTAAGACAGCTTTATGCTTCTATGGGCTTTTTAAAATAGTTTTCTTTTATCTATTCATGAATATAAACACATAGTTAAACTCTCATGTCTAATATGAAAGGATCATAGTTTACACTTCTTTTGAAACATAAATAATTAATTTTCTTTTTCAGAATGTTTTCTTTGTCATGATTGCCACTGGAAATTACTTGTGGTTGTGTAGATTGATTGAGGTTTACATGGGTGCTGATATGGTCCTCTTCAGTGGTTTTTGTGGTTTATCCACCCTCATAGCACTTTCAAGAACCTGTAAAACCATGAAGTGAGGAAATAGATGAATATTCTATCTAGCAATTTTTTTTCCAGAGAACGATGAGGAAACAACCCCGGAAAATGATTTCCAGGAAAGTGAATTGAAAAACAGGGGTGGCCAAGCATACCGTAAGCAATTTTTTGTGAAATTCATTCTCCTTGCGAAGTTTCTGAATGTGTGCTTGTAGCTGGACTTCCTAAGCCTAATGCAAAACAAAACAAAAGTTTATTTTTCACTCTCTTCAAGCAATTTGTGTGTATTAGTGTTTCTGTTATAATTTATTAGTATTTAAGCTACTGAGAAATCACCTGTTTCTGTTGAAATGACTGAGCAGTTGCTGCTCTGTTTTTAATCTTTTGATGCTCATGTCTGGCAGCGGCTGCTGTTTCAGTCTCAAATTGCCCTCTGTACTTCTTCTTCTTCTTCTTCTTCTTCCTTAGAGCCTTGGGCTCAGCTCTGGCCCTTGTAGTTGTAGCACTCCCTCCCATCCATCGCCGAACATTCATTCCATTGCCATATTGAACTAAGAATCCATATTTCGTAAAAGATCTCACCGCTCCACCACTACCTCCATAACTGATCTCATTTGCACATTTTACAAATGGACCCGCTACCTCACTTCCTCCACTGATGCAACCACCACCACTGCTGCCATGACTCATGTAACTTATCACATTCATATTTTCAGTGAAATTGTGAGTACCTTCCATGAGAAATTGCCCTTCTTTCTGTGTCCCATTCTGGATTATCATATATTTGTCTTGATTAGCCCTTGCAAAGTTCCATTCACTCAAGTTCTGCGAATTCATAGGATCCATTTCATACGGATGCAGCATTGTCTTTTCGAATTCATCAAAATTCTTTTGAAGTGTAGCCAACTGGTGTTGGATGACCTGTGGAAGCGTAGAACTATCTTCATTGTGTGCGAAAACTGGATCACTGGAATCTGCCACATCGGCAGTGTTCCATTTTTGAGTTCTTTGAAATCCTGTGGAATTGTATCAATCTGATCATCAATAAACTGTTGGAATTCTGAGTCAGTTTCATCATCTGGACAAAGTGGGCCCATGGTTTGAGCTTTAGAGGAATCCTGTTTTCAAGTGAGTTGAAGTCGGATGGAGACTAGACTAGTGTAGGAGATAATGCATGTACAAGCATATGGAACTTATCAAGAAACATATGGTAGAGACAGTCAATAAACTGTTTTTGGAAAACACTTGGAAAAACATTGAAAGTATTTCTAATCCAGTCATCTGTTTATAATGAACAAAGAAGTGAACATGTATAGGATAAATCAATAGAGTTTCAGAACCAAGTCAAAAGAAGAAGAAGAAGAAGAAGAAGAAGAAGAAAAACCAGATGAAAATTTTGGCAAAAAAAATAAAAAATAAATAGAAGCTGCTGCCTGATTACAAATCAAACCTGGTACCCTTCCTATGAGCCAGACCCTAGTATATAATAAGTTAAACTCAAACCCCAATTACTTGAAACTTGCCCATGGAGAAGCTATACTGTAGTGTTATGGATTGTGGTTAACCTCTCTCCATTGTCACAAGAAGGCATTAAACCAGAGTGTCCTACCAGTTACCACATTGACAGATATTTGGCCTTATATGTTCTTTTTTATATGAGCATACATGATAGTACTACAGCCTTCCAAAAAATAATAATATTCTTAAGTACTCATGTAGTTAGTGTGTGTTGTGTAGTGCGGATCCCATCAAGTATTGGAGACTATCCCGAATTTGGAGTAATGCTATTTTTGGTATTTTTGCGCTTGAGACATGTGATAGTTGTAACCCTTGTTTTGAGTGAATTATGTAAATCTTATATTCTTGTGATGAAAAGTAATTTACAATTCTTCTGCTTTTGTTTCCTGTGTTCTTGTGTTTGTTCTTTGTTTTCATATTCAGCGATGTTTAAGTGTTACATATTCTTGACAGTATGCTATGTCTCCAGGGCTTTTGATTGTTTGCAAAAGCATTAAAACATTACAAATAGACAACTTATTTTGGAAGCCCCCACAGCCCCTAGAGGTTTCTTTTAGAGCTAGTCAGTGAACATTAATCTATTATTCAAGGGAAGTATCTGGTAATTAATTAGTGACTAAAGTGGGGCTTTTCAGCCAAAACTGAGGTTACTAAATGAGTTAAAAGACTTTTTTAGCCAAGCGAAGCCTTTGTATATGGAAGAGAATGGTAAGTACTTTGTTATTCATATGTATTGATTACATTTTCAATTATTTATTTTTTCATTTTTTTATGTATACTATGAGAATTGGAATTCCTCATCATGGAATTTTATGATCTGTGATGGAGGGTATACATTCCTGAGAATAAATAGCCTTTTTTTCACTTTTTCACAATTTCATCCTTGTATTTTTTGTATCCTTCATTTGCAAGTCTGAAAATGGAGTCTAGAACTACCCTCTGGTTGGGAGGGGAGGCGATGAAAGTGAGTTGAGTTGCCAATTGGGTTTACTCAAGAGTTAATTGAACTCAACTCTAGACTAGATTAGAGGAAGAATGGAGGTGATTAATATATCACCATGATATGATCATGCAGTTTTATTTTATATAATAAGCCCCGTATTGATAAGTTTTGATCATTAATTTTTTTTTTTTTTTGCTTTTTGCTTTTCAGTTAAAGATTCTAGAGCTAGACGATTGTATATGTGGGCTGAAAAAAATATTAATGAAAAAAAAAATATATATATATATATATATATTGACAGAATCATTCATGAAAATGATATGACAATGATCTTTTTGTAAATAAAAAGATAACTCAATGAAATTTAAATTTTAAAGTAAAAGATCCATAACTTGATATAATTTTGTGTGAATTACACTGACTTTTTTAAAGAGATCGAAATTGATATAAATAGTGTGAAAATACAATGATGAACAAAAAATATATATATTTCAATATAAAATAGATTATGTTATTATTTTTTCATCCATATGATTAACTAATTTTTTATGAAAAGAAGATTATGTGATATGTGAATTAAAACTTTATCGGAGACTAATGTAATTATGCTAAAATTGTGAGACTTATTATTTTTTTTTTCAAACGTCAGGGGAGGTTAGTGTAATTTATCATATAATTCTCTTATCTTTTTTGATTTGTATATCATTACACATAAATCTATAGTCTCACATTAGAAAGTATGTTATGCAACGAGTATTTCATATAGTTGAGATGATGTGCTTTAATTTTTCACTCATTATTTGTTATGTGATAAATATGAAACTTGAGAAGTGACTTTGTAATCAGTCTGAATGAGTGTTCAAAAACATCAAACTCTGATCTCATTTTTTATAACAAATGATAAATAGAAGAGTATGCATCAACTTAACCAGGTAACTCATTACATAAAATATTAACAAAACTATATACACAGATCTAATTGTATAAAGTAATTTTAGTCATACATATTACATGGTGAGATTAATCATAAAGGTCGTGTTTGATTCACAAGATTAATAGTGAAGTATTAATAATCTTATTAAATTAGTGTGGTATTCATTATCCAATTGGATTAATATCCATTGAATTAACAATCCCACCCATACCCCATTACTAATAATCCTATAAATTTGTTGGATTAATTATTCATTGGATTAATAATCCTCAACCAAAATGTTAAAACAAACATATGATAATTGGGTCCACAGATTAATAATCCCAATCGCATGCTCTAATCCACCCAATCAAACATACCCAAAAGATATAATTTTATTGAAAATACTCTATTTATATTTTGTATAGCTAGTTTTATGATCGATTATTTATCCAGAAACTTCCTGATAAAATATTTTGTTACAAAAAAAATTTTAAACACAAAATATACAAATGTAACACATATTCGCACCTACAACACAACCTTTTGTCACATGGCATGTAGCCCCCACGACAGTGCGGAAACTGAGAGACGTGGAGACACATTATATGGGCAATGCGGTGGCTACCACCAACTTGGCTGCCCAAATGTGGCAACTCACTACTTTTCCATCTCTTTGTAAAGAACAATTATTTAGTGCTCTGAGATTTAATTCTTATTTTAATCAATCGACAAAAGTGAAATCTCAATTAATCCTTGTGCTTCTATTAGTTTGACTAACCTTCATTGATCCTTACTTTACTTCTATTAATTTCACTAACCATAATTGGCCAGGATTAATATTGATGTAATGATACAAAAGTTAAAGGTGACAAACTTAATTTGAAATCATAAACTCATCTAATTCTCTCTTTTAAAACCTGCTTAAACATATGTCAAACTCTATAAATGGGTTTGAATGAATTATATTTTGTCAATCCAATTAAAATTAAATTTAAATGAATTGGATATGATTATCCATTTATCTCCACTCCATCTCACCACCACCACCACAACATGAATACCACTACACCATTAGCTCTATCATCCCATCATCATTAAAATAAGAGTTCAATGAAATAAACGAGTTAGCTGGTTAATTTATCCAACTCGTACTCAATTTAACTTAATCTACTTAAAGACGTTTTCAAATCAATTTACTTTAATGCATAACTTGTTTTATTCGTTCATACCCACTAGTTTGTCATATCTATATGGAACCACTAGAAAAGAGATTCCCATTCTGATAAAGTGGGAGCTTACAGTCACCTACAGTCGGCACTGAAATCTTGAAGAACCCTATGGCTACATCTACATTAGGATGCCATGCAATTTAATCATTGCCTTTTTTGTGTGAAGCATTTTTTAATTCCTGTTGATATATGTACACGTTTTTGTAATGATAACCAATGGCTTTGTTTGTGCCACACTTGGAATCTCTGGCTCCCTCTTGTTGGGAGTTCCAGCTTTCCTATGTTTTCAAGACCTAACAGGCAGTGGAGAGTGAAAAAAAGCCTATTGCTATCATGTTGCTATTTTGAAAACATAGAAAGCCTATATATTACCATCTCCAAAGGGATAATTAGGGTTAGGATTGTATCAAAAATATATATATATATATATATATAAAGAAGAAAGTAAATTTTGTGTTGAGGATCCAAGGTAACTTAACCGACAACAGTGCTTTAGTGTTTGTGAAAAGGAAAATGTTGTTGAGGATCCAAGGAAACTTATAACCAACAAAAATGTTTTAGTGTTTGTGAAAAGGAAAATGTTTTAGAGCTCTAATTATAAAGCTCTAATCATAGCTCTAATGAACTGACAGCGAGCCCGACCCACTGATGATGTGACGCATGTGTCTTTTTTTTTTGTTTTGCTTCTGCCACGTCGGTGGAGCTCTAATTAGAGTTTTGAATCATGACTGTTGTGGAAAAAATAAGGTAAAGTTAAGCCCATAAAATGTAATGAGTTAGACTAAGGTAAAAATTCAATTCAAAAAGATAATATAGGGTTGTTTGTTAGACTATGAGTCGAAGAAGATATGTCATCTAACTTGTTGGGATAAGAAGAATGAAACTATCAAACAGAAGACGAGATGGGCACTGAGCAATAAGTGATGCTGCACAGAGGGTTCGCAAGCGTCAGAACAACGGCTGAACCATTTTCAAAAATTTTTTTTTTATGGAAAATGACATTCAAATGATGACTCGTGATTATATATAAAGAGAAACAGGAGTAGGAAATGAGATACAAGTAATCATCTATGTTGAGACTAAACTCTTGTTCGACATTTTCAAATTAGCAGACATAACTAATTTCACCGTTTGGAGCGCTCGGTAGAAAATTTTGGATTGGACAACTCTAATGAGTTATGCTTCAAAAGAAATCGAGATTTGTGCAAAATCATCTTATTCTCTCTAATACAAGAATCACACAGTATTGACTTAACATATTTGAAATGTACCTTCCCTGTACCTTGTTAAAAAAACGAAAAAAAATTGACAGAATAATAAAATAAATGAGTACTTACTGTGAATATTTGGTAGGTACTCAGAGGCATATGGTTATCCCTGAGTATAGATTACACATATAAGGGATAATTAACAATGATAACAAAATCTAATTAGGGCAATGATAATTATGATGATCACCATATTATCATTATCATGGATGGTCATCATCAATGCCTTTGTCATGAAACCATAATTGCGTTAGGATGGGCCGCCTACGACTGGGACGGAAGAATATTGCTTTATTGGATGTTTAATCTCCTTAGCATTAATTGAGAAAAGAGAGAGAATAGACTTTCTTTCTTTTTTGACAGTATGCAATGAATATGGCAATAAAACATAGAATCAAACCCATGAAATATATATATGAATAAATAAAATTTGTAAGTTAAACTTGCTTTTAAAGGGGGATTTGGTAATAGTCCCTTCATTATCTAATTTATCTTTTAAAATGATAAGAATTATATAAGTACTTTCAAAATTTCTTAATATTTTAAAACTTGTTTCTTTTACTATATTACCCTTATATCTATCAGCTCTCCTATTAAGCCATCTTTACTGTGTATTTCAAAGTAAAATTTTACTCTGTATAAAAGTAAAATTTTACTCTGAATAAGAGTAAAATGTTACACTCTGAAACTAAAAGTAAAATTTTACTCTGTATAAAAATAAAATTTTACTCTAAAAAACTAGTAAAATGTTAGGCTCTACACAAAAATAAAATTTTACTTTGTATAAAAGTAAAATTTTACTCTGAAAAACGAGTAAACTGTGAGACTCTGAAGCTAAAAGTAAAATTTTACTCTGTATAAAAGTAAAATTTCAAAAACGAGTAAACTGTGAGACTCTGAAGCTAGAAGTAAAATTTTACTCTGTATAAAAGTAAAATTTTACTTTGAAAAACTAGTAAAATGTTAGACTCTACACAAAAGTAAAATTTTACTCTGTATAAAAGTAAAATTCTACTCTGAAAAACAAGTAAACTGTGAGACTCTGAAGCTAAAAGTAAAATGCTACTCGGTACAAAAGTAAAAAAGCGAAGGCAGTGTTTGTGGCGGTTGAAGTGTTTGGCAATGACCATCTCTTGACAGTAAAATTTTACTGTCATTCTAACACCAGAGTAAAATTTTATTCTAATTCTCTCAACAAAAAACAGAGCAATTTCTATAAAGTGAAATTAGATCAAAAACAACAAAAATAAATCAAAAAAAAAAAAAACAAACAAACAAAAACAAAACAAATTAATCAACAAATCAACATATCTAATTGAGAAGAAAAACTTCTAAAACTCGATCAACAATCACAAATCTCAATGAAAAGAATACATGTGTTCAACAACACTCATACACACAAATATATATATATATATATATAAAACATTACAACACTCATACACACAAATATTATAGATCGATTCTGTTTGTGTGCTGAGAAAATGGAGGAAAATATTATATAACATTACAACGAAAACTTATGGATCACGTCTCTTACGTTTTTTACGAATTTCATTTGTATCAAGTAGCGAAGACAAAAGAGATTCAGGAAATTATCTCGTCAAATGAAGAAGAAAACGCGATACTTCTTGTGATCTGTTGCCTCACAATTGCTTGGAAGATGAGAATCAGGTCCTTCAATGTCGAACTATTTCTGGTAATCGAAACTGTTATATTGTTTGTCTGATTGATTCTAATGATCTGTTAGTGTTATTGTTTCAATGAATTTGATCTGCTGAAGCTTGGAAGACGCGACTATGGTGCCGTTGACCTTCTGCTGAAGCTTCGAAGACACGACTATGGTGATTATGATACAGTTGATAACGAAACTGATTATATATGCAGAAGCCGAGGGTATAATAGTCATATAAAATATTTAAATAATAAATTTTGTCCTTTATGCAAGACTTTATAATTATAAGGGGGTTTAAAAAGTATAATTTTTTTCTTAGTCCTTTTAATAATGAAAGGAAGGTAAAGAGGATTTATAGCTAAATTTCTCTTTTTAAAATTTTATTCATTTATATGCATTGTGTGTATGATTTTATAATTTATAAATCGAATCTACTTTTAAAACTTTTATTCATTTAAATTTATAAAATTTGTAAATTAGACCCACTTAAAAAAAAATATATATTCATCGATACTCATCTATGTGTTTTTAGGCTTATTTCAACCTTTGAAATGACTTCAATTTTTTTTTTTTTTAAAATAACGTGGGACCAAAAGGGCTTCTTGTCAAAGCAATAAGCATTAATATGTGAGAATATGGAGACAAACTCAGATAGAAACCTACACACACATAATACACACACAAAAAGTTGCAGAAAATAATATTAAAAAAAAAAAACACTACAGGGTTTTTGTAGTGTAGGTGACCCAGAAAGAGAGGGAGAAAGAGAGAGAGAGAGAGAGAGAAATGCTTGTCTGTGTCTGGCCTCCACAACAACTGACATGGAGCAACCACCCCCGACCAGTCCCATCAAACTGATACTGCCTATTAGCGAATCAACGGTTACAGGACAAGACACGTGGGCCATGGAATGAATATACCATTTTTACCATATGGTCCATGCGGCTATACAAAAATTATTTTAATGCGGTTTGTGATAATACTACAAATTTATTTATTTTTTAATTTTTGTAAAAAATTTATGTCAATTCCATGTGAGTATTACAAAAATAAAAATTATTGTAATACATATTTGTGATATTATTTTGTTTGTATTATTAGTAACACTGTATATCTGTTTATGGGAATATATATACCATCAAATTGAGAGAGAGAGAGAGAGAGAGAGAGAGAGAGATATTTTAGTGGCGGGAAGCATGATGATGAGGATTGCACAGATGAGGTGAGAGATCCTTCTTGGCAAAGCTTTTTGGTCCCACACTCCCACTCTCTAACTCGTAAGGGCACTCCCACTTGGCCATCCCTAGTAGTATTACCCACCCCACCCCACCCCACTTGCATGCTTTCATGGGTTGAGATGAGAAATTCAGTCATAATCTCCTACTTATAGTGCATCCCCCAAAATTCAATAGATATTACCTATATGTATCGGGATTTTATATTTATTAATAACTGACTGTATCTCTTATACCATTGTTTGTTAATAAATAGTTACATAATATTTTATATTTCTTTAAATATTCAAATATTAAGTATGTGTAATGCATTAATGACCTTCCATCAAAACTTTAAAAAAAAAAAAAAAATTTATAAAAACCCGACTAGTTAGTTTCATCTCAAGATTAAATCTACCCTGCTCCTTGCGAATACCGGTATGCATGTAGTATATGATCTAAAAGTAGAGTGTAGAGAGAGGGTAGATAGAAAGGACTTGACTTGCTCCTCCTTCAATTCCTTTTCAATTTTATTTTCAAGCAGTTTAATCATGTTATACTTTTGATACATTACTATGTTGACTAAACCCACGCCACACCACACCACACCACCCCACCCTCCTCTCTCTCTCTCTCTCTCTCTCACAGTAGTCTTGGCGAGGAGACTTTGAGACACTCATTTTTCTTTGGCTGGTACGTCTCACCACTGTCTCTCCCTCTCTCTCTTTGGCTGGTACGTCTCTCACCACTGCCCCTCTCTCTCTCTCTCTCACTCAGGAGAAGGGGGAGTCCATCATCATTACATGCATGAAACAATAAATTTTTTTGTGTTTGTTGTCGCGTATATGGATCTCATGCTCATAAGTACTATGAAAATAGATTCTTCTTGATTTAAGTGCAGAATATATATTAAGTGACTTGGGATTCAGCAAATGCAGGTACTACTACGGTGGCTCTCTCAGATTCTCGAAGTTACTTGGAGTTAAAGAAGTTTTCATTTTGCAGTTTTCATGTGGATGCCATTCCTTGTTATGAATCAAACTACCCCAATCAGCTTTTGTTGGTATATGTGCTTTTTTCCCCATATATTTGCCTTTTTATTTTTTATTTTTTGGCTATAATTTTATTTTATTTTTTTAAATTCTATTTATTTATGCATTAGTTCAGTACAGTTAAGAATATTATTGTTGATTCTGTTAGCATAGAAGGGATTTAAAATTGAGTGAATTGATTGAAAGAAATCCACTTCATGATTTGTTATTGTTGTTTGCCACTCATAATTACCAACCAAAACCCAACTCAATTTCATGTGGTGCTTAACTTGATGGTTATAGGGACTATGCATCTTCTATCTCAAATTTTTTTTATTCTTCTTTTATGATTCACTTATAGTTATTTGATTATGTGAAAATATTGAGATATGATCAAACGATTAAAAATGAATTGGGATGGATAGATGACATAAACTTTATGAAAGAGCCAAGGTTTTCTCAAGTCCGAGCTTCGGATGTGCTCCATTTTGATTTTGTTGCAAATTAATGATTTAGATTTTGTCCACCTATTTACATACCTAATTGTAGATCCAAACAAAAAATTGGACCCAATATTTAATGGGTTTATGGATGGAAAAAAAATTAAGCATAACTTACAAAAAATATTGATGCAGTACAAATCCGAGTATCGACTCACCAATACAAACATGTATTGGAGAGAAGTCATTCTCTCTTAAAACAGAGGATCCTTAGTCGTATTTACCCTTGTACTAGTCAATAGTAACGGGTACCTTAATTGATAGGTATTAATACTGATAATTAGAGTGGCACTTCATATAGTAAGATAAAATGGTAGAAACAAAGATAGTCATTATAGCATTAGGCCATCACTTTTATATTGATGTTTTAATGAGTAATTATCTTGTATTTTGAAAATTTATTATTGGCTGTGTCCACCCAATAGTAGGAGCCAAATAATTACATTATTCAAAAAATAAGTAACACATATTATTATTAGATGGTAACATAAACATGCGAGTAGATAATTTTTCGTATTTTAAGAGACAATTGGATGTGTCAACTAATTTATGGCGTAGAGTTTTACTCCAAAAGCACTTAATAATTTTTCCAAATCAAGGTGGTTTCTATCTCTGTGTTCTAGAAATTATGTTTATATATAACACAACATATATAACCAACTAGGCCTAGCCTAGTTGGCCACCACGCCTTCCTTAGGGCTTAGTTCCAAAGAGGTCATGCGTTCAATTTCTCTTAGAGGGATTGAATTAAGAGAGTGCAAATACTTAAGTGCTTTGTCAAGAGTGGGGATATGTTCTCCCATAGGTGCTAATCTAATCTAACAACTAACATTTGCCGATCAAAAAAAATATATATATACATATATATAACACAACATATATCTTACTAAAATGTGTGTTTTTTTTTTTTTATATAAAAATAATTAAGAGACTTACAGCTTAGGCTTTTAACTTTTTCAAAAAAAAATAATCCAATTTAATCGTGAAAGGGGATTCACTGAGTAGCCCTTTGGTTATAGCTAAAATATCACACTGCTAATTAAATGCCATCAAATATATATCCAAAGAATAAGGTGATAACATTTTTTGAGTAAAGTTGACATAAAAGCATAGTTGTACGTAACATTTTGTGATTGTTCATATTCATGGAGTTGGGATCTAGTAAGCCCACTTTAAAAAGTAGCATGTGTAAGGCTAAGGCTTCTGTTATTTCTCCATTTATAGAAGAATATATATAACCTTTGGCATGGGGACGTTTTCCTTTTTATTCAGATGAAAAGTGGTTGATACTGTGCCATATTAGCACTGTTCTGCTTCTTTTTCCCACCATTTTTATGAAGCCTGGACCACTTGCTATTGTCTCAATTTGATTTCAACCAGTCAGTGGCCATAAATAAAGGTACCTGCACAAGCGCTCCCTCTCTCTCTCTCAATTAATTCAATCAGTTTCCTTTTTTGTTTGTTGTTTTCTGTAGCAAGGTGAGTGGTGGTATTTCAGAATTTGAGTGCATATGTTTTAAGAAATTTTTTACTTTGTCTAAAGATGCTTATTAGTTGACTTATCATGGCACATTACATATAGGTTTTAGGGTTTTCCATATCCATGTTGCAGTATGTTCTGATGACATCAATATTGTCATCTAATTAATCGGGTACGTAAGTAGCTACATTATTAAGAAAATTGATATTTATGTAAAATTTTCATAGAAAATTTAAGATTAGATTAATGTGACAATGACATTATTGTAATTACGAACTATGAACATTTAACTTTCATTTTGTATGGAGTTTTTATATATGAATTTTGTTTATATGGCATTACTCATTAAGTAAGTTAGAATGTTTTTTTTTTTTTGATCAGCAAAGAAAATTAACTATATTGATGAAAAGAAAATTAGTACAACAATATAAGAAGAAAAAAAGATGAGTGTAAAAAGCATCATAGCGAACCAAATCAATCCCAACTAAGTTAGCACCAATAACATTCTAACTATAAACTTAGAATGTTTTATGAATACTCTAAATTGCTTCTAGTTTGTAACTGCCAAGAAGTGTTGACTTCCCCTCCCCCTTCATTTCATATATATGATAAAGAAATGAATGTTAGTGCCTGTATATATAGCGATGATATGTATATATATATATATTAATTATTATGGGTTTTCCAGAACTGTATTTCAATCTATTGTTCTTGTAGAAACAACCACCCTTTGGTTGAATTTCAGGTCTCTCTTTCACTGAAGATAGATCATGGCTTTGTTTGAAAATGACTTTTTACTTATATTAGATGTGCATCTTTTACCTATTTTCGTTTATGCATAAAAAACTGACATGTATATATGCAATTGTTTGTTTATTTGACTTCGAAATATATACAAATATGTCAAAGCAATTTTTTTTTTTATTTATTTATTTTTTTCAGAAAGTAATTATTTAGAGGGATATGTCAGTGTTCAACGAATTCCACACACAGATTTTGTAACATAAAAGAATAACCAAGAAAAATGAAGTATATGAAACTTGGGACAAGACCAGACACTTTCTACACAGAAGAGGCTACCAGGTATTGTAATTAATTGTAATTGTAAATTTGTCAAATGTTGACATTGTCGAAATGTCAAGCTATTTATAGACTTTTTACATCAATGATGCAGGACGGTAATCTCAGACGCAGCCAGTGATCTCATCATACAGATTAACAAAATCAATTATCTTCTCCATAAGGTATGAGTTAGTGAGGAATCATTTGCTTTTGTCAAGGAATTCATAATGAGGATAGTTTTGGATTTAATTAAACCAAGTGCCAAAATGTTGATAAAAAGAAGAATCACCACCTCAAAACATTCTCAACATGCACGGATTAGACAATCTTACACTATTAACCATGAAATGTTTGTGAAAGATCAACAGATTAAAAAAGATGTATATTTTTCTTGAAGCTTATTTCCTAACAAAAGTTTGGCTTGCATATATGATATGTTATCACTAAAGACGACTTAAATCATTGTTAATTGTGGCACTCCTAGTTGCAGTATCAACTTCTTCCCAAGTGTGGTCTCTTGCAACGACTTTGCTCAGATTCTGAAGATTCTGCTAGTATTACTTTGGAGCTTCATGATATTCCTGGAGGTGAAGATGCTTTCGAGTTGTGTGCTAAGTTTTGCTATGGGATTGAAATCAATCTTAGTGCACGTAATATCGTACCTGCAATTTGTGCTGCTAAATTCCTTCGAATGACTGAAGCAGTTGAAAGAGGAAATTTTATTCTAAAACTTGAGAGTTTCTTCAATTCATGCATTCTTGACGGTTGGAAGGACTCCATTCTAACATTGCAGACCACAGGAAAATTACCAGAGTGGTCAGAAAATCTTGGCATCATTAGGAGGTGCATTGACTCTGTTGTTGAGAAAATACTTACACCCTTGCCAAAGGTTAGATAAACTGCATCTTTTTGACTTCTACAACGCACATTCTTATCTGATATCTAGCAAAGACTCTGAATATTTTTGTTTCTAGATACATAAAGATTTGATTTGAATGAAGACTCTATGCAGGTTACATGGTCCTACACTTACACTAGACCAGGATATTCACAGAAACGACACCAAATTGTGCCAAAGGATTGGTGGACAGAAGACGTATCTGACCTTGACATAGATCTGTTTCGATGCATAATTACTACTATTAGGTCAACAAACATGCTGCCACAACAACTAATCGGCGAAGCTTTGCATGTCTATGCTTGTCGTTGGCTACCAGACACTACAAAGAATTGGCCTCCAGAGAGTTCAACTTCTCAAATTGAAGATGTGAACAAGAAACAAAGAATTCTTGACACAGTCGCAAGCATGATTCCAGCTGATAGAGGGTGTGTTTCTATTGGATTCTTGCTGAGACTACTCAGTATAGCAAATTTTATAGGGGCATCTCCAGTAACAAAGGCAGAACTTATAAGGAGATCTTGCATGCAACTGGAGGAGGCAACAGTGAATGACCTTTTATTTCCTCCACATTTGTCTTCTAATAGCCATTTTTATGATGTTGACTTGGTTGGGGCAGTGTTAGAAAGTTTCCTACAACAGTGGAGAAGGCAAAACCTTGGAGAACAAGGTCAATCCGTGAGTTTGATTCAGAAAGTTGGAAAGCTCATTGATTCTTATCTTCAAGTGGTTTCAAGGGATGTCAATTTGCCAGTTCAGAAAGTAGTGTCTATTGTAGAAGCTTTGCCAGAAATTGCTCGGCCTAACCATGACAACCTTTACAAGGCGATTAACATTTACCTAAAGGTATGCTACAAACAAACATATAGAAAAACGGAACTAAAGAAAGCTTAAGACTATATGATAATTATATACTTCAAAAATCTTCAAGCCTCAAGGTTTACTGCCATGTATCCATTACTGGTGCTTGTGAACCCAACATGTTAGGATACCTTTTGAGCGAGCAATTAATACCTAATATAATTAACCCCATCTTGACAATTTCCATGCCCAAGTGTGTTCTTTTTGCTTTGTTCTCTTCTCTGTCTTAAAATTTTTCATTGATGTAATATGAACATCATCCACTTCATGTGTAGTAACTCCAATGGATAACAAATATCAATTCTTGTTCACTAATTTTTGCACTTCATATTGTTCGATTTGAATAGGAACATCCTGGTCTGGAAAAAGTAGAGAAAAAGCACCTCTGTCGCATTCTTGATTGTCAAAAGTTATCTCCCGAAGTATGTGCCCATGCTGTGAAGAATGAGCGACTACCATTGAGAACAGTGGTGCAAGTCCTCTTCTTTGAACAAGAGAGAGGCGCCAGGTCAACAACTCACAAACTTCCACCTCAACAGCTACTTATTGGCAGACAAAGACGGCCAATTACTGCAAATGACTCGAGCAAGTCGAAAGTGAGCTCAGATGGACAATCCTATGAAGTAGAGGGCATTACAAGAACTACAAATCCTGGAATTACCGAAAGTATTCATCACAAAACAACAAAGTCAGATGGAAAATTGGTATTGGAACCTGAACAAAATGTGACCAGAAAAAAGGATGAGCAAACGGAGATAGAGAAGGCAAGGGTAATTAAAGAAGAAGGAACTTCTGGATGTAAATTTGACCCAAGTATGATAATACAGAGGAGAACTAAATCAGACCGCAGCCATAGCAAAGGTAGATCTAGATAGCACATGAAAAGATTCTCGCAATTTCTCTGCTCTTAATTGTAATTTTGATTTTCAAGCCAAAAGTAATGATCCATGATGCCATTAAACCAGTGTACAAAACCTTAGCACCATATAATAATCAGTACAAAGTTGTTGTCTTTTGTTCCTGTAGAAGTTGTCTAGAAGTATTCAGTGAGCAGAATATCAGGAAAGGGTTTGAACTAACAATAGGTGGAGATTGAGTTTCCAATGGATTATAGTGTGGGAGAATTGAAGTTACACATTTGATTGATTACTTGATATTTTCATATGTAAGCACCGCAACATCAAGTTTGAAACCATCTTACTTTCATTATGTTAACTTTTTTCAACTATTTAAGTAAGTCAAATTTTAGTATATTTAATGGTCATTGATACAAGAAATATGGTAGACATACAACAATTCAAATAGCAAAGAAGTTGGATGTTTCATAACAAGAATGCTTACATCAATGATTTACTTTCTTGTGTTCACTTTTGAGTGTTCTTCGATACACCTATTGTAGAAGATACACTACTGTGGAAGAAAGGATAGACAAAAGTAAAACATGACCTATTGATGAGCATATTGTGACAATAAATATAAGTTTAATATGTAATGCTTATTTTGAATCATGTCTAAGCTTCAACCACTGATTGGTTGGTTTCTCTCAGCAATTTAGAACAAGAAACACAAAGAGAAAAACTAGGGATCATGAAAAAACTTTCATGAAAATGATCATGACAAATTTATGACCATTTGATTATCTTGATTAGTGTGTGGTGCTTTATTTTAAGTGTAATCCAAAGGTCATAAATCTTTTATGATCATTTTCATGAAAATTTTTTCATGATACGTAGCATTGCTCAAACACAAATACAGATATGACTTTTTTCATATATATAAAAAAAATAGGATATGAAAACTATAGGTACAGGGGAAAAAAAAACTAAACATTTTTTTATATAATTGAAGATCGCTTTCAAAGATTAAAGAATGCGATATGGCACTAATTAAAAAAATTATTGACATAAACACTAAATAAAGAATGTGATATGATAGACTTACATGTTGTGTGTGTCTACCATGTTTCATGTATGAGTCGAATAAATTATTGACTCTTTTGTCTTCTTCTTTTTCCATAGGTTAGGATTTGTAATGACACTAGACATGAAAAAATTAGTACTTTTTGTTATGTTTTATCGCGAAATTGTTAAATTTTACACATGGACCTCTCCATGTTTAATAGATATGGAGGTGTGAGTCATGCATGTACATAACTTAAAAATAAATAAATAAATAAATAATTAACTTAACATGGGTGAATTTATATAATTTGAAGATAATAAATAACTAATATTAGTATAATAATATATGTTATTTGAATCCATAGGGTGTCCCCTCTAGGTTCATTCTTGACCAAGTCTATTATTAGGTGATGTGGGATCATAATATATTCCTTCCTAAATATATCATATTATTTTATAATTAATAACACAAAAAATAATAATTTTTTAATGATAAAATGGTATTGATAGTAGCAATTTCATTCAGCAACCCATTGCACTTATGCAGCTATGCTCATAAATCTGAATGGCAAAAATAAAATTCACCTACCAATATTGGCGGCTAGAGTAACTGGCGTCATTATAAAAATTTTGTGTGGTGCCATCAACTAATTAAAAGTGACAAATGGATTTAAGTGGACAAATCTTATATATTTTTTAATTAATCCAACAATATTGTGATTCCTACAACGAAATGAGATTATTTATTGAATGATGGTATATATATACTACTAGAAAAGGGAGCTTTAGCCACGGAACTTTTTGTGACGGTTTAAAAACCGTCGCGAAAAGCAAGTATTTGCAATGGCAAATAAAGCCGTTGCGAAACTTTTTGTGACGGATTGATTTCTATCGCAAAAGCTTCACACTTGAGACGAATAAAATAATTCGTCGCTAATAGTATTTGTTGAGACAGAAAATGACTGTCGTTGATAAATAAGCAAAAAGACGTTATCATTAGCAATGGAAACAAATTATCCGTCACAAAAGGATCCATCAGTTGCAACAGATACTAAACCATGGCAAAAAAAAAAAAAATTAAAAAGACATAGTTTATGTTTTTGTGCATCTGTCTGTCCATCACAAATAATACGAGCCCTAACTCCCCATATTTCATTCTTACGCTATGTCTCTTCCTCTCATTGGCATCGCCTCACTCTGCCATCGTCCCACCGGTGTCACCCACTCCGCCATCCTCTGACGCCGTCATCTTCCCATCGACAATCATTCAAGAAGAAAGTGCAGCAAAGCCCGATCAGAGCTATCTAACGTTCTCTCTCTCTCTCTCTCTCTCTCTCTCTCTCTCTCTCTCTCTCTCTATTTATGAAAAGCTCATATAGATTTCTGTATTTTTTCTGTTTGGTTTAGTTTGATCTTTCACATTTGGAGATCATGTCTTTTCTTATTCGATTCGATTTGTTGAATATTGGATTTTATTTTATTTTATTTTGAATAGTTCAATAATTACTAATTTTCTTTTTTGGAACCCTAGATCCTTGTTGTTGAAGCCCTAGGTCCATTGCACTTATGCAGCTATGCTCATAAATCTGAATGGCAAAAATAAAATTCACCTACCAATATTGGCGGCTAGAGTAACTGGCGTCATTATAAAAATTTTGTGTGGTGCCATCAACTAATTAAAAGTGACAAATGGATTTAAGTGGACAAATCTTATATATTTTTTAATTAATCCAACAATATTGTGATTCCTACAACGAAATGAGATTATTTATTGAATGATGGTATATATATACTACTAGAAAAGGGAGCTTTAGCCACGGAACTTTTTGTGACGGTTTAAAAACCGTCGCGAAAAGCAAGTATTTGCAACGGCAAATAAAGCCGTTGCGAAACTTTTTGTGACGGATTGATTTCTATCGCAAAAGCTTCACACTTGAGACGAATAAAATAATTCGTCGCTAATAGTATTTGTTGAGACAAAAAATGACTGTCGTTGATAAATAAGCAAAAAGACGTTATTATTAGCAATGGAAACAAATTATCCGTCACAAAAGGATCCATCAGTTGCAACAGATACTAAACCATGGCAAAAAAAAAAAAAAATTAAAAAGACATAGTTTTATGTTTTTGTGCATCTGTCTGTCCATCACAAATAATACGAGCCCTAACTTCCCATATTTCATTCTTACGCTATGTCTCTTCCTCTCATTGGCATCGCCTCACTCTGCCATCGTCCCACCGGTGTCACCCACTCCGCCATCCTCTGACGCCGTCATCTTCCCATCGACAATCATTCAAGAAGAAAGTGCAGCAAAGCCCGATCAGAGCTATCTAACGTTCTCTCTCTCTCTCTCTCTCTCTCTCTCTCTCTCTCTCTCTATTTATGAAAAGCTCATATAGATTTCTGTATTTTTTCTGTTTGGTTTAGTTTAATCTTTCACATTTGGAGATCATGTCTTTTCTTATTCGATTCGATTTGTTGAATATTGGATTTTATTTTATTTTATTTTGAACAGTTCAATAATTTCTAGTTTTCTTTATTGGAACCCTAGATCCTTGTTGTTGAAGCCCTAGGTCAGCGAATCTCTGTTCTGAATCAAGTTCCTTGAAGTTGTTCTCAATCAAAAGTCGAAGATCTTCTGAAGGTGCGAATTGCAAATCTCTCTCTCTCTCTCTCTAATAACAAACAAAGCTATGTTCCCAATCTCTGTTGTTGTATATTTTCGATGTCATCAAAGATGCTTTCAAGATCACACTGATTATCTGCGCATGAGGTGAGTTCTCGTTAATTCATTCAAATTTGTTCGATTTTTCTGGTCAATTTTCTTAACAGATTTGATGATATTTTTCTAGCATGAAAACAAGCATTAAGTACATGCATTTCATTTTTGTCATTTGCTTTATATGGAATTTTATAGTTTCTGTCTTGATGAAACGATGAAAATTTAGATTTCTAAATGTTTGCTGCAATGCTATACCTGCAAGACTGTCTACAAACAGTTATTGCTGTCATTGGCTTGCTTCTTTCAGACTATATAAAATTGGTAGTAAATAATTTGTGTTGATCCTAAAAGAAAACTTTTCACCATTAATTCAAGTAAATAATCTGTATAAAACTTGTTTTTGCATTGTATCAATCACAGTTATTGAGTATAAAACTTATTAACTCAATTATGTATGATGTAAGAAGCATTGAAATGTAATTTTGTATTGAAACCCCCCCCCCCAAAAAAAAAAGGTAAAATGGGAAATTTCTCTTATGGTCGTTATTTTGAATCTATCTAAAAGTTGAGAGATTAAAAGAGAAAAGAAACTAACTATCTTTTAGATATAGAAATTACAATCTTTTTTATCTTCTTTTCTTTTGTCTTTTCTCTACTAGGTTAACAAATAGTTTAATCTGTTTTATTTGGACTTTAAACATTTACCGGTATAACCGTGAATTACAAAGGTTGTGTATATCCATAACAATATGATTGCGCTTGCTTTGATTTTTAACATTGCACATATAGTGTCCTCATTGCAAATATTACTATTTTTTTTCTTCTTTTCGATGAGAGTTGAATTTATTTATTCTCAGTTCTTGGTGTTTGGGGTTCCATTTTTAGCTACCTGGTAGCTGCTAGTAATCTTTTTGGTATGAGAGGTGAGAAAAGAAAAGAAATGATCATGTATATTATTTGGATGGGTAAGAAAGCAAAGCTTGTGAGAGAGTGACATGAGTGAGAATTTTTTATTTTATTTTGTATTTTAATGGGTAATCTCGGTATCATGAAAATTTTATAATCAATTAGATTGTTTTTCTCCAAATCTCATCACTTTTGGTAAGAAATGAAATAGGCAAAATCAGTCTCATCATTTTTTTTGGTTTGTCATTTCTCACCAAATCACTCTATGCAAACAAGCCTTCTATACTTTTGGGATTTGATTTCCATGTCCTTTTTAGTGCTTGATTAGGCATGTTGTTTTGATTGATTACAATTGTTTATTATCTATCTTCATTGACTTTCTTGATTTTTCCGATTACCCTGTTTTTCACACTTGATATACTTTTCCTGAGCAACCTAGACAAAGTGATACCCAGATGGTACTCAATGTTAACCACTGGGAGATGCAACACCAAAGGATCAATGGAGTCATTGAACCTGAGAAATGGGTTGTTTCAAGGCAACAAATATGAGTCAACTACAGAAGCATCTAATACGTCAGATACTCCAGCTGAGAAATATGAATACCAAGCTGATGCGCATTATTAGAATAGTAGAGCTAATTGAGTTGTTATGGCCTGTTAACATTTTCTGCATTTTGATAGGTTAGTCGACTCATGGACCTCATTGTTAACAGCTTGTATAGTAATAAGGAGGTGTTTCTTCAAGAGCTCATCAGGCATGTTTTGATTTGTTAGTCAACCTTGTTTCTTGCTACTTTTACCATGTGTTATTGGTGCATGCCCTCCATCAGTATGCAATATTTGTTTTGCATTCAGCATCAAAGGACACTTATTTTTTTGCCATTTTTGCATCAATCAACGATAATTGACATCTGTGAAGAAAAATAACTATCCGAACTGTATCAAGGCTGTATAGAGTTTGGAGATGTAACGCCCCCAAAATATGATACAATAATCCATTCCATAAGATCTATAAACATAATAGAAATGATATATTTTCATTCATCAGAGTTCGTATTACAAAAGAGATTACATGCATTATACATTCATAAACGTCCATCCTGAATCTACAGCATGTAAGACAAGTAATAACTACAAAATAAATACCCTACGGACTTACATCTTTCCAAGATATCACTTGGTTACAACAAAAAATAGAATCCTAAGCTCTATACATGTAAAACCCTTGGCTTGAATAAACATTTAAACATAAATATAACAAAAATAGAGCCTTCAGCCCTCAGTCCTCCCAAGCTATGTCCTTGGAGGAAGCATATCACCAGTACCTGAAAATGGTTTCCCAAGTAGGGTGAGCCAAAGCCCAGTAGAGATCAACTAACACAATATATGAGGTTTAACTAAGATATAAGTGTCAGATAAATGCTCCATATTCATGACCAACTTAAATTCTTCCCATGACTACTCAATGCAGATAACTACATCTCAATCCATTTCCATTCATTCATTTCAAGTTAATCCATTAATCAAATTCATTGTTATCTAATCAACCAAAATGAGACTACAACTCAGTGGTTCACCATCCACTACAACCATTACTCAAACACTTCTATTTTCTTCCCATTTTATGGATTCACGTCTGAGGGAATCGACACCCATATATATATATATATATGATTTTAGGACTTTCACCCAGGACACTCCGGCCAACTTAATTTTAAATGGAGTCCATCCTCTATCTCCTCCCAAACAATGGAGTACATCCCATATCTCCTCCAAAACAATGATACATATACAATATATTAAAAGTATCGTCATATACAATGGCTATCTGCAACACATATTCAATATTTCAATCATACCGTCATATTTTATGACACAATTTAAAAGATAAGTTTCAATTTACCTAATCTTCATGCTAGTTCTACAACAATCATAATTATCCTCTACTGATAGCCTAAAACAGATATTTCTAGACAGATATAAAATCTTTATAACAGATAATTTATCAAATTTTCATAGGTGAGTGATTTAACAAATCCAACTACACCGTTCATTCAAACATCCTTCTAATTTCACATTTCCCATATCAATTTCATTATTCATACAAAATAATTATTTAACTCATATTAAGGCAAATTTTCCTCTTTTTCAAATATCAATTCAAAGGCTAAATTTCACCATCTTAACACCAGAGAATCTCATATACAAGCCCCATAATCATTTTGTAAAACCAACATGAAAAACCCTTCTTTCAATTTTGAATCCATACCCTAACTTTACCCAAAACCTCCCAAATCCCACCATCTATACATAACAACAAATACCTAGGTTAAAACTCATATTAAGGTGTAGAATATCTCTACCTCAAGTGTAGAAGCCCAAAGAAGAAGAGGAGAAACTTTGAAAGTAGCGAAATCAACTTCCAATTGGAAGAAAATGGAGTCCTCAAGTGCTCTACATTTCTTTCACAGACACTAGGGTGAAGAGATCAAAAGATCTTGGTCAAAATGTAGAGAGAGAGTGGATTTTAGAGAAATGGAGAGTCGGATTAGGGTTTTGGAGTGAAAAGGCATCAAAAGTGATATAAAAATATGCTGCTGCGAATTGATATACACGAGGTTCGCTCGAGCAAAGCAGTTGTCGCTCGAGCAACCAGACATAACAAGTGACCTCGCTCGAGCGCAAGATGCGTCGCTCAAGCACAGAATACATACCTTTAGAAGTTTTACAAACGCACACCCTCGCTCGATCGCAAAAAGCCTCGCTCGAGCGAAGACTTGAACCTTCTCAGAAATTCTGCATCTGGGCAAAATACTGAGAGCACTCAAAGCTCGCTCAAGCCCAAGAAGTCTCGCTCGAGTGATGAAGCAAATTTCACAAGGCTCGCTCGAGCGCAAGAAGCCTCGCTCGAGCGAAGAAGCAATTTTCTGGACAACAACAACTTGAACAATTAGCAACTAATCTGCTCCGAACACACCCAACATATTTCAAAACTCAAATTCAAAGAGTTAAAGGAGGAAAAACAAGACATGGATACAATATTAAACCACGGAACCCGAGTCCGGAATATAGCAAAGGTCGGGTCAAAACTAGGATCGCTATAGAGGAGATGAAGGGATAGTAATTATGCTCTAAGCCAATGCAAATGTGCTGATCTCCAGAATTATACATAGTTGTTCATAATGATTAAAGCAAGCCTTGGATAAACAGAGAAAATAATTGGATGAAAAAATGTACGTGTACGTTAGAAAAACTAGACATGATTGAAAATTATATTTTAATATGGAGAAGGATTTTATTGCTTTGATGGAGGTCTTGTCATTCAATGTTTTGATTTAATTGTATGACTATTGGCTTTGCAATTGCAATGAGTGTCCTCTACAAGTGTTGCCAATAGATAGTTTATTACTTGTATTTGTTTTAAGCTGAGTTACGTCAAAAAGCAAACTAGAATTACAAGTTTCTCTCAAGTTCCAAGTGAATTAAATGATGCTATTGCTAATGTGCTCCAAATTATGATTTTTAAACCTCAGCAATGCAAGCGATGCTTTGGACAAGCTGCGATTTCTCAGTGTTACAGACCCCAATCTTTTGAAGGATAGAGTTGATCTTGATATCCGTATCCAGACTAACAAAGATAATGGGATTATTACAATTACGTAAGCTTTTTGAACACTAAAAATTATTGTGGTTTATGTTTCCATTGCAGTATCAAGACTTTATGTGCTCTATGCAGGGATTCTGGCATTGGGATGACTCGTCAAGAACTTGTTGACTGTCTTGGAACTATTGCACAAAGTGGAACTGCAAAGTTCTTAAAGGCATTGAAGGTGCCCCAATATTTGGCTTAATTGTATTGTATACTTTGATTAAAGACCTTATGCTAAGTTTTATTTATTTGGCTAGACTGAGTATAATTTTAGCATAATCTTAAAAGTTCTATCATTAAGTAGCATTAATTGTGCATTCTTTTGAGATTGATTCTTTAATTCATGATACACATTCAATTGAAAGCAACACATTGAACAATTTTTAAAGTACATAAAAGTGTGCATATACAAAACAGAGCTTATATACTGTTTGATAAAGATTATAGCTTTAAGTCAATTTGTGCAATTGTTTTAGACATTGGGACTTTTGGCTCAAAACAGAGAAGTAGACACAGAAAAAGTATGGATCAGTTTAAAAAATTGTACTGAATGTCTAGTTTACCTAAAGAAGCCTATCTTATTTTAAAAATGTAATAAAATCACAATATTCATTTGAAATTTGCACTTTTGCCACTTTGCTCTATGACCTTATGGTTCAAATTGGGTCATCAACTTCATTTTTTATATGTTATTGCTAGCTACTAGAATTAAATTTCACTTGCTCGCTACTAATATAAATTTCCTATTTTGTAAATTAATGACATCACATCTATCATTAGCTATATACTTGATCAAATTAATTCTTATACTTGTCTGGGCTGCAATTTGATTGCTTGGTCTGCATTGTTTCTTTCTTTCCTTTTTGGTTTTAGTATTTGAGCATTCTAACGGAGTGTGTACTTGCAGTGGAAACAACAATTTGAATTTCATTTAGGTGACTCAGTCTTTCTTTCTAATCATCGTTTTTATATTGTAAATGATTATTTTTTTTTTTTTGGTTTCTTTTTGCAAATGCAACCCCTCTTGAGTACGTGATGATATTTTCGCATATCAATGTTAGAGCTTACTGTTGATATTAAAACAAGTTATAATATATATGTTTTTTTATTTGTATTGTCGATACTTTTGTTTTGCTTTAGATACAAAAATTTAAGTTCTTGAATATAAATTTTTTTTTTTTTTTGATCGGCGAATATAAAAAATTATTAGTATTGTTGGAGGATATTTTATATATTTTTGTAAAGAATATTTGGTTGACAATTGTTACAGGGTACATATATACATATGATTTTGTAGATGTGAATGTGAATGTGAATATGGATGTAGATGTGGATGTCAAAAATATTTTATTTTAGAAAATATATAAAATATATATTGATTTTATGAAAGTAATTTTATTGCGACAATAATAAATCGTCACTAATGTAATCATCATTTCCTTGCATTTTATTAGCGACGGGTTCACTTGTCAAATATATACATGTTTAAACTGTTGCAAATATGGTAAAATTTAATTCTACTTTTTTGTGACGTTTTAGACCGTCACTAATAATACTTTTCACGACAGTTTAAACTGTCGCAAATACGATATTAATTTAATTCTACTTTTTTTGCGACGTTTTAGACCGTCACTAATAATACTTTTCGCGACGTCAAATAATGTCGCTAAAAAAAGTTTTGGCAATGGCGGCCAATATCGTCACTAAAAGTGAAATTTTTTCTCCCTTTTTGTGTCAGGTTAAACTATCGCAAAAACCATTGATTAGCCATCGCTACAAGGAAGGGACGGTTTGTAATCGTCGCAAATACTTTTGTCACGCCCCCTTCTGCCACCCCCCATTTCTGTCGCTGCTTGCGACGATATATGAACCTTTTGTGACGTTTAAGACTGTCGCAAAAGCTCCGATTTTTAGTAATTATACATTAAATTAAAAGCTGAAAAACACGTGTGCAAATATTTGGTAGGAGAATCAATTGAACCTTGGATGGCTTCACAATACTCAACTTTCACTTCAGACACATGTTAGCAAAAAGTTTTTAAGACACATTTTTATATTTTGCATAAAAATGAGTATTATAAAAGATGCAGAATTTATTCAAGTCAATTTAGTACATGCTTAAAAGCACACATTAATAATATATTTTAAGAAAATATTTTATCCTACTAATCTGTCATGAGTCTCACTTTTGTGTCTCTCTTCATCACTTCTTCTTTTTAGACTTCAAAAAAATATTTTATGTAACGGTACATTTTGTGACTGAATATTCTTCTATTTGATGACATATTTGATCATTTGTATACATATTAGTAGTGAATGTAAATATGATATGTTTATAATTATATATTTAAATTCTCAGACAATTTAATAATTTTGAAAAACCACTTGATAGTTTTTGAATGACAAAATGGCTTAACAATTTTTGATTGATTCAATAAATAAATAAATAAATAGCTATTAATGCTCACAGGATCTGTTTGAGATTTGTTTGATTCACTCGAAAGAAACGCTTTGCGTAGATCCTGAAATTAGTCAAAATGCGGGTAAATTGGCTTGAACACCCGATCATAAAAAAAATAATAAATAAATATTTACTCAGATGAATGTATATAGTTTTATTTTGGGATAATTATATCTTTTACCTTTATAGTTTGACTCAAATTTACTTTAATCTCTATTATTTTAATTTAAATAAATGGGTAAATTACAAATACACCCCTGAGGTTTACTTAAATTACAAATTACCCTTGTGGTTCTAGAAATTACATTATGCCTCCTAAGGTTTCTAATTTCATAACAAATAGGTCATTTTATTAATAAATCAACAAGTTAATCAGCAATTTTTAATAATGTTAAAATTTTGTTTCAATTAATAATTCAGGTAATTTTATTATTGTATAGGTGAACAGTGAGAAATTTCACTTTTTCAATTAATTCTGTTAAATAAAAAATTCTAATAGGGAGGTATTTGTAATTTTCCAAACCATAGGGGGCAATTCATATTTTAAGCAAACCTCAGGGGTGTATTTATAATTTACCCTAAATAAATTGATTCTTATACATTAAGTTTAATTTCAATTTGATCATTCTGTCTAAATTTATGTTAATTTTGATTGTGTACACCTTAGAAAATTAACAAGTATTTTAAAATTATTAATTTTAACCGAATGACCAAATTCAAGTTTAATTAAAATCTAGAGACTATAGAAATTAAAGTATAATTAACCTTAAGGGGTGGGCCTAGTGGGCAAAACTTGTGGTCTGGTGGTGTGCTTCCTTTATGTCTCAGGTTCAATACCTATTAGTAGCAATAAGTTTATTGGGGCCATGTCCATACATGGCATTTGTCCTAGCTTCAAATGGGCCCCACAAGTGGACGGCGGGATTGGTCTTCTAGAATTAATCGAGGTGCACGTAAACTGACCCAGATAATCGGTTATCAAAAAAAAAAAATTAAAGTAAAATTTAAATCAAAGGTGAAAATTATAATTAATCAATTTATTTTATATAATAATAAAATATATAGATTGAACTTGCATTATAAGTTGGTTTTTTTTATTTATTAGCAACAGACGTGCAGAAATATAGAGAGATGATGTGATCCAAATAACAAAAAATAAATAAATAAATTAAAACTTCAATCAAAGTTGAAAAGGTCTGGTGGTGTGCTTCCTTTATGTCTCAGATCCAAATAACAAAAAATAAATAAATAAATTAAAACTTCAATCAAAGTTGAAAATTGTAATTAATCAATTTATTTTATATAATAATAAAATCGATAGATTGAACTTGCATTATAAGTTAATTTTTTTAATTATTATAAAAAGACGTACAAAAAAATAAAGAGGTAATATGATCTAAATAAATCAATAAGTTAGTTTTTTTAGATGTTGTCAAACGAGGCATTAATCAATCACAATTAGTTGCCCTCTAAAAAAAGTCATAACTAAATATAAAAAAATCAAAACTACAATTTCAAAATAATGTTATAACTAAATAAGAAAATTAGTCATAATTAAAGAAAAAAATGACATACGAGTACATATGGTATATATGGTATGTGTATAATAGAATTCTCATATATATATATATATATGAGGGCTGTTATTAGTACCTACCTCTTTTGGACCCCCATACTCATTCATTTGTTTTTTAATTCTAATTTTGTCCGAACATAAAGTTCCATTTTTACCCTAATTCCTAACTTTTAACCCTAATTTCTCAAACTCTAACTTTAATCCTCCATCACCTCCACTCGCCACCTCCACCCACCCTCACCGACAGTGAACATGCATCTCTTGCCTCAAGCTAGGTCTCTTCCTCTCTGTTTGTTCTAATGTCTCTAAGAGCTTTGCAGGTTTGTTTCTCACTCAACTCAAAATCGAAAATCATCAAAATCACACTCTTGATTCCATTATAACAATCGATCAAACAGATGGCATGCACAAATACCCTAACCCTAGATCTAGAGCACAAATACAGAGAGAGAAGTAGATTCAAGATCTAGGGTTTTCAAAACCCAGATTGCGACGTCGTTAGTTGTTCGTCGGTGGTACGCAATTGCAAAAGGGGTGGGGGCATCGTGGCGAGGGTTCGCACAAGGTGGAGAGATAGAGGGAAGATGGAAAGAGGTAGAGGAGAGGATTGAGAGACCTATCGCCGTTGGAGAAGAACTGGGTTAGGGTTCATGACGGGGTGAAGTAGAAGAAGAAGAGACGGAGATGGAGAAGGGATTTTGGGAGGGAGTGGCAACGAAGATGAGGTAACTGACGCAAAAACAGGCTTGGGAAAAGATGACCATGAAGTCAACGGCGAGGTGATCGAAGGGGCCGCAAAGCCAAGTTCATCAAATGAGAGATTTTTCTCATCATCTTCTCTGTTGTAATTAATAAAGAGAGAAGATGAGAAAAATGATGATGATGGGTTTTGGGGTATGCAATGGAGGTAGGGTTTGCAATGGAGAGGTCGCTGGAAAGGAGGTCATCGGTTGATGGTGAAAGGCTGTCAACGGTAGAAAAAGGTTATCAAAAGATGAATTAGAGGTTTAAACACGAGGAGTATAGTTAGGATTAAGGTGGGGGTTAAAAAAAAATTAGGTGAGACTTAATTAAGTGGATAGAGATTTAAAGAAGTGGGGGATCAAAACAAAATTAAGTAGGCACTAATAGCAGCTTATATCTATATATATATATATATATATAATTGCTTCAAAGTTGTTAAAGGCTTGTCTTTTGGTCAAGCATTCCATAATTGCCCTTCATTCAATGCCTCCTCCATTAGCTATTTAGCTCTCATTTTGTAATTTACGAAATGCGGCGCACCTTCCACTTGCGATGTTAGATAATAAGCTGCTAGCTTTCCTTTCTTTCTTAGCTAGAGAGCTGTGCATATCATTGAAAAT